GGTGGTCACCCCGCCGGCCCCAGGAGGGCTGGCCCAAAAGCCACTGCCACTCGCACTGGACATCCAGCTGTGGGATCAGGGCTGGGCCAGCAACAGCAACATCCCACTGCTGCACCCCGGCACGTGAGCAGCACACGGGCAGGGAGGAGTCCCCAGCACCCCCACCCCCTAAGCCACCAGCACGCCCAGAAGGTTTGAGCACAACTTCAGCTGGGTACTTACTTTTTCCACCTCGTCGCTCCAGAGCTGCAGGGGCCACAGAGCAACAGGAGAGGAGATCAGTGTTGGAGACGTCGAGAAGCGCTCGGCACTCACACCAACGGGCAAGGACGTGCCGTGGACACAGCAGGCCAACTCCAGGGACAGGCCAGCCCTTCACCCAGCAGCAGCTGCCAGGTCCGTGCCCCTTGCCCTCAGTCCTGCACCCCTGAGCTCTGTTTCACAGTGGGAGAGCGAGCCCCTGGCACCAGAGCCAGCTGCACTCCAGCTCTGCTCCCTGCCGTGGCCGTTCCGGCAACGGTGTTCAGCGGGCTCCAGGAAGAAAAGGATTAAGCAGCAGAGTCCTCCAAGCAGCAAGAGTTACTTTGCTGAACCCTGCAGAGGCTGGTGTTTAAGGACAGCCCTTCTTTTAGGGTGGTGGAGAGGTAAGGATGCTGCTTGAGCCCACAAATAGGGCCTGGGAGCTGCTGTGAGCTCAAGCCAGTGCTCCTCACCCACTGCTCCAGAGAGCTCAGGTTAATGGGATCATAATCCAGCCAGTCTGTGCTACCAAGGAGCACATTTAGCTACAGAAAGGAGGCAGCAATGGGTGGATGCTGCCTTTGAACCAGGTAGAACATCATGCTACTCCTTCCTGCTGTCCTCACCCACAGGGGCATATCTGGGGCAGCACGACACTGCCAGCTGCTTGCTGGGATCTGGCTCCAGGACATGAAACAATCGACAACAAAAATCATGCACAGCAATGGGAGAGGGAGAGAAGAGGTAGAAAAACACATTGATCCTTTCCAGAGGTCCTCTGCTTGGCTTCTCCTTAGCAGACAACTTCTCCCTCAGCACTGGCAACATCCAAATCACCCTGGGTCAACTGGGAACCCACCAGCCTACCAGCAACACCCCACATGAGTGGGGCCAGGGGAGATGGCCTCTGAGGACCTCAGCTTCACCCTCTGATGTCACCTTTGCCCACCAGAAAAGTTCACCACAGCATGGCTGGCTTTGCCCTGCAAGCACCTGGGAGCTGGGTGGTGTCAGAGAGAGAACAGATTGGGTGTAGACCCAGGGGCTCCCAGCTGAGCCTTGTTGAGGTTTGCTCACCAGCAGCCACCCTCAGGTGGGCTGTGGGAGCTCCAGGGGCAGAGGCAGCCTCACCAGCCTATAAAAGGAGCACCTGCAGGAGCTGCCTGCCCTGGTGATGGGCTGGAGCAGGAGGGTGTATGCCAGGCTCCTTGGCTTGCTGCCTGCTCCTGTTGTGACTCCTGGCTCCTGGCCTGCTCAGCTCCTGCTCCACCATACGTAGCCTGATGGGCATCTCTTCTTACATGAGTGCTGTTGATATAGCTGGTTGGTGCACTGAGGCTGAGTGTTTTCTCTGCTATTTAGGTTGATATTTTGTTACTGGGAGTCAGAAAGTGGTTTAAGGAAGACCTGGGCAATTTCAGCCATGCCTGGGGACACAAGTCCCTTCCCCTTCTCAGTCTAAGAGCTCCTACTCTGGAAGGCAGGTGGTGGGAAGATCCTCATAGGCAGGTCCTAGCCTGAACTGCTGCTCTGGAACAAGACCTCTGTCAGCACACCCTCATGTTTCTGGAGCAAGGTGTACCCCAGGGGCAATAGGAAGCTCTTACTCTGGCCACAGGTCCTTCTACATAGATGCTGCAGACAGTGCTTTGGCCATTTTGGGCCCATTTGATCATTGCAGTACCCACTGAATCTGTAGCCAGGTTTGTCTCTCTTCTGTTGGCCTTGCTCTGGGGCAGTCCAGCTCTGCCCAGATCTACCCCTGGGCTAAGGCACTCTGAAGTTCTAGGCAAAATGTTTCAGACAGCTCAGGGAACAGAAAAAGCCATGATCTGCACCTGGCTTCCTCCACCCCAGCTCAAGCCAGAGGAACCCTCTTTAAGGTGCTCAAAATGTTTTTCTTGGAACCATTCCTAGGAGTACAGCACAAGTGGCAGGGTCTGAGAGAAAGGGATATTTAGGCTTACACGGCCCACGTACACCTTCTTACACAAAAACAAAAGGTCAGTGTGGGAGAGAGGAGAAAGGGCTCCTCAGCCTCCAACGAAACAAGGGAGGTGGATCTAATTCCATCTAAGCCCTCCTGTTATGGAAGGGGAAAAAATAAAAGCATTGTTTTATCCACCTCTCCAAAAACCAAAACCACAACATTTGGAATCCAAATGGGAGCCCTGCTGAGGGCATATGGTCCAGGAGAGAGCTGACCTGTTTGCTCACCTGTAAGACAAAGTTACCTGGGCACAAGCAATAGTCTCAGGAAGGCGCAGAGCTGAGCAGCACGGGGAGCAGCAGCCCCTGCTCCGTGCTCTCAGCACACACTAAGAGTACAGTGGCACAAGGGTCTGGCCTGGAAGAGAAGCAGAGGAAGAGGATGAAGAGCTCCTACCTTGCTGCAGCGCCTGACCCCTTGGGATGATGGATGCTGGGATTAGAGAGCTTGGTGCAGAGCAGTCCTGCCTGCAGGGAGCTGGGGAGCAGTCTGGGCTCAGCCTCTGCTCATTAGAGATGCTAATTGTTACTGGAGTCACCCCTGCTAGTGCAGCTGGGCTGTGGGTGGCACTTCAAGCACCACCTGCAGCCTCTGACAAAGGTGGCCTTGGGAGGCAGGATGACCACTGCTGGTAGGCCAACGGGTTTCCTACAGGCACTCTTGGTAGGAGGCTCTTCTATGCAACCATCAAACATGACTAAATGCTCGAGATCAGCACTGGCTGCTTACCTAGAGCAAGTCTGCCTCCTGGAGCCCTGCTCTGTCTGATGCCATCTCCACTGCTGTCAGAGCTTGTCCAGCAGAGCTCTGAAGAGGGACCACTGAACCAGGCAGAGATGTGCCAGGGCAGACACCCGTAGCTAAACTCCCCCCAGATCTATTTCTCTTGTCTTGTTACTGGACTTTGCATCTGCTCCCCAGACCAGCTTTGCAATACAGCAGAAGCAGATCAGTTTGGGGATGAGTAGACATGTTCAACTGAGCTTCTGGGCACCCTGCAAGATGCCAATGTGCATTATACAAGCACTTGCCTTCAGGTTTGCTTTAGAAAGGCTGGGGGAATAATCATGACACTCTGGTCTAGTTAGAGCTGTTCAGAGGCAGGGAAAGCCCAGCTTCCCTCCTCTGATTCTCCTAGCATCAGTCTTAGTCCATTACTGTGCTGCCCTTGGAGCAGACCTTTCCCAGGGAGAAGCCAGAGCCCCAGGCTCACTGCTTGTTGCTGCACTAGGAGAGATGGAAACTGAGCAACTCCTACAGCATCACCAGGATCAGCTTCTTCCTAAGGAGTCTCATCTCCAGACCTGTTACCTATGGAAACAGTTCTCTAGTTATTGTGCAAAGCTATTTCTGATCCCAGCATCACTCTCCAAGAAGGTCAGGAAAGATCCCCTGGGAACTAACACTGATGCTACCAGCTCAGACATACCTCTTTCTCCAGATGGGTTTCCTGTTAACCAAATCCAACTTGTTTCCATGATCTTTTTTGTTTGCTAGGAGGCTGGGCTGTCCTTTTTCATGTCTACCGATCCCACTCCTCAGCCCTTCCACTCCCAGATTATTCTATTAACAGGCATCAGTGTTGTTCTGAATGCTATTTAGGAAGCAAGATGACCAGTTTTCAACATTTTAACGAGAAATGTGACATTGTGCAATGGGGAGCCATGAATGCAGCATGGAAGGTCTATTGCTTGACCACAGCCACTCAGTGCAACACAGCAGAGATCCAGCGGGCTCTTGACCCACACCCAGCACCTCTGAGTACATAACAGCTGCCAGCAGACAGGCCCTGAGATGAAAAGGGGAAAAAAATGACCTCTATTTGCAGAACAGAAAAGCCTGCACAGTCAGCCTAGTGCATTACTGACAATGGGTGGCAGAAATCCCTCCACCTTTGCTTCTCTTCGCCCCTGAGCACTGACACCACAGTATCGATCAGGCAGTCATGCCTGTGATGTTGCCAGTGTACAGCTGGAACCATCCAGGAAGGCTAATCTTTGAGGTTTTTTTCCCTTTCAATTGCTCCACTAGCAATAGAAAACCATCAGAAGATTCCCCCTGGAAATGTGGAAAAGGATTGGCAGGGAAGCAAACCAAGCGGCAGAAGAGCCAGACCCTGACCGCACACCCCACAGGGGCAATCTGCATCCTTCAGGTTGAGTCAGAGGAACCCCGGGCAGCCCATGTCACATTAAAATGTTGAAAACAGCAGAGCAGTAGGTCTAAGTCAGGTGGAGAGAGGGGCAGGAAGAGGTTGGAGAGGCAACATCTAGGGGGAAGCAATCTTACCGCTGAGGCGCTGGCGGAGAGAACGTAATTACGAGGTCTAGTCTCCTGAAAGTCAGGCACAGCCTAGTGGGGAACAGAGGTCAGGTACCAGTCACGCAGGAGAGGGGACACCAGTCACTCGGGCAGGGGGTGGAGGAAGGGACTAGTGGTTTTCTCCTGTCTGCTGGGAGCTCGGTTCAGACCCTCACGGGGTGGCAGGAGGGAGGTCTCCCAGCGGGCTGGGTGGTGGTGTGTGGAAGCTCTCCCTCAGTGGGGGCCAGGCTTGTGCCAGAGGAGGTGGCCTGGCTCCTGCAGTCACAGCAGGTATTTCTAGGGTTGGAGACTCTGCCTGTACTTACAGCTACCTGCTCGTACAGCTGCCAGCTGGGGTGGAGAACAGACAGCACAATCTCAAATGTGTTTCTCATCCCCTTGCAGCCAGCAGGTTGCTCGTGTCCTGTTGGCTCAGTCCAGTGAGCAGGACCTTCTTTCCCCTTGCTTCCCACCTACAGTCCTAGAAGTGTCCCTGTACAGGGCCTTGTCCTTTAAGTGGCCATGTTTACTAGCATCAGAGCAGCATTCCCACAGTGTCTTTTAAAGGAAGGCATCTATTTCTTGCTCTCAGCAAGCCTCTGGGCATATTTCCTCTTAACAGACTCACATCTCCTATTTTCAGGAAGGGTCATGGCTTAGCCAAAGGAGATCCATTCCAAAGCTTTGCTGTTGCCAAAGGTAGTGTCTGAGGTTTCATCCTGGAGGTTGGAAAACTTCCAAGCCACCTTCTCCATAGCTAAACCTCTGCCCTGGGGCACGAAGACTTATGCACTCTGGAAGTTTTCCTCAGTAACCATCACACTCCTTGTCTCTATTCAGCTAAACTAAGATTAGGCCTCCTCCTAGGGTGGCCTTTGGCTGTAGCACCACCAAAAGATAAGCCAACAAGGTAGCTGACATCAGGACCATCGTACTGGTGCAACGGACCAGGGCATCCTCCTGTGCAGCAGGTTGGTGTGCAAGGCTGGCACACAGCCCAGCTGGAACCCAGCTATGCTCTTAATCCTCTCAGACTCCACTTTTTCTCTCCCAGTTTAATCCCCTTGGAGCTCTACGTGTACGTGCTGACCCCGTTTGCTGGGCCCCGAGCAGCCTGCTGGAATGAGTGACCAGTGTGTGGAAGTGCAGTCAGGCAGTCCCCACAAGAAGAGACTTTTTGAAAAACCATCTCAGAGTTTTGGGGATGGCTGGAGGGAGGAATAAGGAGTGATTCCTGTTACAAGTCAAACCTGAATACAGGGAGAAAAATGCACTAGTGAGATTTGAAGCCAGCACAGCAACTAGGCTTGACTCCTCCCTGTGGGGAGAAGAGATGTTTCACACAAACAGCTTCTTAGACTTTTAATAAAGATCAAGAGCAACTGAAGAAACCTCTCCTCCCATTCCCTGGTCTCCAGGCAGTCCCCAAACTAGTCATAGCACATGGGATGAAGGAGGCAAGCTGCTCTTGCACTCCCGTGCGTGGAGAAGTTGTATTTGCAAGCAGTGGTCAAAAGGAACCCGCCCCCCTCCCCCTTCCCTTGTAGGGGAAGAACCGGGCAGAGCCCTGGAGCCTGGAGGACAGAGCAGCACCACAACGAGCTCAACCTGCCTGTCATTGTCTCTGGGCTGCCTCCCTTCCAGGAGAGGGACTTGCCCCCCGAGGGGGTGTTCGGGGAGCCCCTGCCTCTCTTGAGCACTGCTTGCAGGCAGCGGCGATGGAGCCGGGGACATGCTCCCAGGGGCTGCAGGCAGCAGAATGATGCTCCTGTCTGGCTGGAGCACCCTCCCCAGGCAGCCACGGCCCTGCCCACGCTCAGTGCATGCTCCAGGGCCCGTCCCAATGGGACAAGGGAGGTAGGAATTTTCATTTTGAATGGGAAAGAGACAATGAGAGGTGTTAAAGAAAAAAAAACCACAGCACTGTTAGCACGGTCAATACTCACATCTCCCTCACACTGAGCAAATCACAAAGAAACAAAACAAAAAGGTTAGTAAACAAAACAGCATCAACAGGAAGGACAAAGCACAAAGTCTGACGGGAATGCACAAGCCCAGAGACTCCAAAGGCACGTTGTGGGTCTGGGCAGCAGCGCACTCGGGGATCAGGCACGAGACAGAAGCTGTGGGAACACAAGTTTCCACCACAGAGGGGAAGAGCAGCAAGAGAGGGGTGAGCTGGGAGAGCTTGGAGGGAGGGGTGTGACACAGGACTCCAGGCACGTTACAGGGAACGTTGGGGTCTAATGAGGAGTCAACACACCAAGAAGAGCAGAGGCAGAGGTTCTCCCATCAGGGCTGGGAGCTTCCACCTCTGCCTTGTCCTCTAGCAGTGAGGCATCCAGAGCTCTGAGGCCAGGGACCCCACCTTTAAGCTAAGCTGGGTAAGAGATGGGTGCCCACCACAGCAGCTGAGGTTGCTCTTCTGGTGTGTGAGCTCTGTTTTAAAGAAGCAGAGTGGCTGAAACATGGCTTGGGGTGAAAACCCTGGAAACCCCAGACTGGCTCTGCACCCTGCCTGGGGCTCCCCAGCCCTGCAGTTCCAGTAGGAAACCATGTTTTAATTTTCCAGCTACAGGGAAGCCCCTTACCCGAGGGTCTGCGAGCAGGTAAGAGGCCTTGGGATCACCTTCACACAGGAAGCAACATAAAGAGGGTGGAAAAGGAGGAAGCACAGAAGGCATCTGAGCTCCTGTTCCGAACTGAGTTTCAGATAAAGCAATGGCCACCACTGTCCACTTCAAAAGAGGAACTGGGGATCCCTAAGGTTACCTGCAGTGGGTTTAGGTGACTTGACTGATGAGAAGAGTTTTTTTTAAAAGGGCAGCTATCACTTTTATTCACCCAAAGCTTTGCTCAGGGCTTTCCCACACAGCCCTGAGCACTCTGTTGGACCTGCTGATGGAGGCTGCTGAGCTTAGCACAGCTTCCCCATATGGCCCGTGTGCAGTTAGAGCTGGAGAAAAGGGAAAACCCCTGGGAACTGGCCACCCAGGGAGCTGCAGGGCCAGCTGAGCAGATGGCTAGAAAATGGGCTCATGGCAGGGCTCCTAGGCTGGTATCCTTGTATCCCAGTGCATCCCAGAGACTGACCAACAAGGATTCCTGCCTATTCTGATTTGTTAGTTGAGCTCCTGGCCCCAGGCTAGAAGCAGAACTTGGCAAGTCCTTGTGCCAACAGCCAGAGTGCTACAGGATGGCAATCTGCTTCAGCAAGGCCCTCCAGGAAACCAGCAGTGCCCAGCTACATCCCCTCTGCCTCCTGCTCCACGGCCTCGGCCCAGGGAGAGCCCAGCTCCAGGAGGTGCCTCAGGCCCAGGGAGCACCCTGGCCTGACAGGTCTTCTCAAGCACTTGTCCCCATTGCTCAGGCCTGCAGACAGGGACTCTGGCTGACTTACCAGTCCCTTCTGCACTGCTCAGACCCGGGACCTGTGCCAGTTTATTTGCCATGAATTCCCCAAAGCCAGAGAGCAAGACTAGTGTGTAACTAGATAGCACCATGAGTTAAGCAAATAGAGGCTGAAGTAAGGGACTCTTGGTAGCCAGTCTGACTTCAGCCACCCCTTACAGCCTCCCACAGCACTCCTGCCTGGGGAAGACCGAGTTGACCAAATCCTAACTAGTCTGAAGGGCTGGCACTGCTGCAGAGCCCAGTGTGCCTTTCCTGTGCTCCCAGCTCAGCTCTCTCTTGGCTTGTCCAGAGAACCCCAGGGACTCAGCAAGTCCTCGGAAGATGCAGCCTTTGAGTTACCAGCACAAATCATCCAGCAACCACTATGAGACAGAAGCCTGCATCAAGTAGGATTTTGCAGGCTCTGGAATCTCAGAACTATTTGTTTCAGCAACTCTCCCATGTGAGGATGTCTGGGGAACAGGCACGTGGCTCCCGCTCCAAATTCCCTTGTGTACCAGACGAGGAATTCCCCCACCCGTGCCTGCCAGGACACAGCAGGGCAGCCTAATTTTTGTCCCTGTGAGCCAAGCCCTGGGGCCAGAAGGACAGAGAGGGGAAGGAGGGACAAAGTTACCGCTGCTTTTGCCTCGGCAGCCTTGGCTTTCTTCAGCCTGGCTTTGCAGGCATCCAGGTCCAGGCGGCGGTTCTGCAGGATCCTCCTCTCCTTCTGGAGGGGACAGAAAAGGGGTAGGAGCAGCTTAGGAGCTGCTGGGGATGGAAGGGGACGAGGTATCATCTAGGAATCAAATCTATCTCCTTATTAAAATAATGCTAGGGAGAAAGAAGCAGTTGCTCTGTTCATCTTGTTAGTAAGTTTTGGGCCTGGCTGCCAGGGACACAGACTGGAAACAGGGCAGCCAACGGGTGGGTGGTGCCCACTTAGCTGCAGGAGTTGCCTTCCTCACTCACACTAGTTGGCAAAATCCTTCCCTGCTGCAGCAGAAGCCCTGAGCAGGTCTGGGATCGGTACTCCCCTATGCTTGCATTCTTTGAGAGGGGAGGTATGGAGTCCTCCTTTCTCCTAGGGAAGGAAAATGCATTCTAGCACTATTTCCCTCTCCCCCTGCCCTCCTCATCTCTGGTGAGGTGCCCAGCTTCCCCTCCCCTGCTCCCACACTTACAGAGATGGTTCTCCAGTCCCCTTCCAGGAAGTTGCGCAGGGGGGTGAGGAAGTTGATGGAGGCAGAGTGGATGAAGTCCCGTTCTGCTGCACCCAAGCGCCTTTGAGTCTCCCCAACTTTGATCAAGGTCTTCCCTGCAAGAACAGGAGCCTTCAACTCCAGGGCAAACCAGTTAACGTTGCATTGGCTTCAGCCAGCTCACCCAGAGCTACCAGGCTCTGATGCTGGGGGCTGAAGGCACAGGGCACCCTGCCTGGGTGAGGTGACCCTGGCTGTGCCACACCAGCTTCATTCAGTCCTAGCTACAGTCTGCTTCTAGCTTGAGGCCTCAGCTGCTCCCAGTGCAGCTTTGATCTTATCTGCTGAGGCACTTTTTCCACTGATGTCCTTTTACTGCCCCACCTGCTTGCACTGAATTATCTTTGTCTCATAAAACAGAAGCACAGGAACAGAGCAGCAAATTAAAAAGCACCAGAGCATAAAAAAAAGAGAGCTGATGGCTATAGATGCAGTTCCAGCTGTTCTGCCAGTAACAGGACTCACTATTGAACAGCTATTGATCTGGAGAGCAGCAACAAAGCTCATGGCAGAGGCAAGGACAGTTGGGAGTTAAGGTTGTGCTTCTGTGCAGGTTTGCTGCTTAAAAAAGCCCAAAATTCCCCAGGAGAAACTGTTAGAATTTGAGTAGAAAGATGCTCTGTGTGGTCAAGAAGGGACCTGTTGAGGCTTGTAGCCCAGCACCAACCTTCCCAAGTCTGTTTTCCTGTTCTCTTTCTGCTGGAGAAAGGTTTCCACCCTCCACTTGCAGGACACAGTTAAAGGATGGTTCTCCTGTTCTAAAGAAACTGTGCCACTAGATAACACTTTAAGCCACAAATATGCTTAACCTGGATGAAACTAAAGCCATTCACTGCAACTCCATGTTCAGGCCAGTTTAGAAAGCCACATAAATAGCACAGAATAGTTTGTTTGCCCTGTAACCAGTTCCACTAGCCACCCTGGATGCATGTGTCTTTGTTTCTTCCCTAGCTGTGCCAGACCCGAGGGCTGTACTGGGATGGGGAGAGCCCTGCCTCTCTTCCCCCAGCAGGGAGCAGGCTTTGCTGTGGAGGAAGACTTCACTGCCTGCTCCAGGTGGGCTGTTGGCTTCTGTGCTCAAGCTCTGACACACTAGTAGGCAGGTTGCCACGGGGGGAACACACCATCCTGCCCCCCTCAAGAGGCAAATCTTGACCCAAACCAGCAGTGGGGATCGTCTCTTAGGAAGGGATGGATTCTCAGGGCTTTTTAATTAGCCAGGCTGACTTACCATAAGGTGTCCCTGGCCCAAAGTCATTAGCTGCTTCTGTCATGTACTGTGCCAGCAGCTCCCCGTTGGTGACCCGGGAAGGCACCTTCCGGTCAAGCTTCTCATAGAGGAACTCTTCTACTCTGGCACCTGGAATGAGGATGGCACTGCTGATTATGGGACAGAGGATGAAGGAGGGGGCCCTGGAGCTGATATTCAGGGTAGCCCACCCCATGCAGCCCTCGAGAATGCACAGGATAGCAAGCACTAGCCCCAGGAGAAGGTGTCCCTTCCCCAGCCCTCGGGAGCACTGCCAGGCTGTGCAGGGCAGCGGCCAGTCATCTCTCACAGGGAAGGGAGGACAGGCTCTGCAAACACACCTTTCTTCCAAACTCAGTGCAACAGGGCTCTCTGCCAGATGGCATGTCTCTTAACACTGAGCTGCAAGTGGTATTTGTCCTTCAGGGATCAAAAGACAACTTACTAGGGTTTGGCTGTAGCAGAACTTCAGTCTGACGCAAGATCTTCTCTGTCCAGTTCTTTGTGCAGTCTGCCCTGGCCAGAAGGTTTTCAAAGTGGGCATCTAGTTCAGTCTTCTCAGCCTGGCCCAGCTTTTCTTCAGTGAACTGCAGGAGAGAGGTAGCCATTAGGTCTGTTCTACTACAGCAGAATCACAGTGTGCTACAGAGCTATTAAGAGACACTGAGGCTTCTTCTGTCTCATGCATTTATCTCAGAGTAGAGCTAAAAAGCCTTCAAGATGTCATTCATTGTTCCCAGGCCTCTTTCAGGCAAAGAGGGCAAGAGGGAAACAAGCATTGAGCTAAAAACAGAGTTCAGGTTTGAGAGGTGTTTCAGAATAAGTAACTTTTAATAAGGCTGGTACAAAAATACTCCAGTTGTGAGGAATCTAGTTAAATGTGCACATGAATTCCAGTACTTCATGCAGGAAAGCAACAGACATCCTTCACCTCCTAACCTCTTCCTAACCAGCTCTGTCCTGCAAACCCAACAGGCTCAGGAATGCCACTACCACCTCACAAGTCAGGCTTTCTGCTCTTATTAGACATGTGTGCACAACCTCAGTTCTGTTCCAGGGTTGTGAGTGCCCCATCAGTCAGACTGACAGTGTCTGAGTGCTGCCTCCCAGCTCCCCTCCTGCCTTGCTGGCAGTGAGCTGCCAACTCAGCCTTTAAGGAGGCTCAAACTCAGAATTTAAAAATGTTTCCAGCAAGTGATTCTTCCTCTAAGACATGCTCTGAAGCAGGGATACTGAGGGAAACATAACGGTGTCTGGCTTCTCTCAGCACTCAGATTCATACTGGCAGTGGACTCTCCCTCCCTCCAGGAGTCCTTTTAAGTTTAAAATTAGCAGCAGGGAAAAGCAGGTTGTGCAAGTCTTCAGTGTTTTCCTACTGGGCAGTGACATCTGACAAGGTTTGTCAGTCTGGAGGTGCAGTGTCAGATGGCCTGGACACCCCCAGGACTTCCTTGGGAGATTTCTGAGAGAAGAGCCCATTCCCCATCAGCCCATCCCCATTTTCTGCTCCTTCCTCTCAGTGAAGTTGGCCAGCTTCAGGGTATTTTTAAGCACAATATCCTGCTCCTGATAGTGTGATCCAACAAGATGCTGCTTCTAAAAAGACTCCTTTAGACAGCTAAGCCACTTGGGATTCTACAAAGGTTGCAGTTGTCCTTTTAGCCCTTGTTACTGGCTGCAGGTGCCACTGTTATCAGGATCTGGTACTGTACAATACCTGGTACAGTCAGGTGCCAAGAGATTAAAGTCTGGCTAAAACTCTTAGATGAAATACAACTGATTTGACACTTTTACATTCTCCTCTCCCCTTCCCTGCCCCACTGCTCAGCTCTAGATGGGCTGAGATTCCCTCTTCATGAGGTTGTGGTCTGGTCTTGCTTTCTAGCAAGCTCTGTTCTTGTGGGCACCCCCAGGACACCCCAGCTGCGTCCATGTCCAGTACAATGCTGGGAACAAAGTGAGATAAGGAGCAAGCCCAGACCCAGGAAGTTGGCAGAGAGCCTCTGGGAGCCCTGTAACCAGCCCTGCACAAAGGGTACCAGATGTCTGAGATACAGAAGCCCTGCGGGTGTGTTTACACAGTGACCAGTTTGGGCAAGATTCCTGCTAGAGCCAGTCAACTGCTTTGCTGGGTGTCGTGGTGACAGTCAGTCAAGGGCGGGACAGTCAGTCAAGGGCAGGACAGTCAGTCAAGGGCAGGACAGTCACACTCCCTCCTGCAGCCCGGTGGGGACGGGGGAGTCGCAGCCATGTGTGGCCAGGGACTCCTTCCCTAGCCTCTTCCTCAGGACCAGTAGCCCCTGGTTACTGGTGCTGACTTTCAGCCCAGCCCCCCCACAGCCCCCTGGCTACTGCTGGACATGCTAAGAGCAGACTCCAGGTGACCAGGCTCTGTACCAGGGTCTCAGGCTGCCTCTGGGGGCCGCACTCGACTCAGCCGTGCTGAGGTTCTCTTCCTCTGTCGCTGTGGGAAGCCCAGGGCTGTTTTCAGACTCTGCCAGGCTGGGCTGAGTCACTGCCATGCAGCAAACTGGGGCTTCCCAGGTATTTGGCACCAATTCTCGAGTCATCTGTTTAAGAGCTTTCTTAAACAAGCCCAGACTCTTTGATGCAAGCATAACGGTCTCTCGCCAACCCCTTTTCCCAGTCAGCTTTTAAAGATGTCATCTCACTTTCAAGTCCAGCTCTTCTTCCTGCAGTTAGACTCATCCTGCACCAGCATCTGCCCTGGAGCTGTCAAGCCTAAACCCAGTTTCTTATCAGTTGAGTTTATTCAGCTTCTGACAGCATTGCTGCAGTCAGATCACTGCTGGAGCCCTCCAGCATCTCCAAAGTGCTACTGCCAGGCCCTTGAACCACCCCAGCTTTGGGGTCCTCTGCTACACTCACAAGTGGCATCTCCAGGCACCACTGTCCTTCGTGGCTGTTTCCTGCAGCCCACCCCTTCTCCTGGTGCAGTGGAATAACATGGATCATTTGCACAGCACTTGGCCAGGGACCAGCCAGGGCTCAGAAACTCTGGTTCTTATCTCAAGCCCTAAAGCTGTTTGTCTTGCAAGAGGGCTGAGGACACACACCACAGCACTGCAAGCCTGGGGGCTCTGCCAGAAGGGGAGGATGGGCAGCAGTCTTAGTCACAGCCTGTGGCTCCAAAGGGTCAAACTAGAAAACAATCTCTTATTCAGGCTTTCTTTCAGAGTTGGAAAGCAGGGCATGAATGTCATGAAGTGGGTGCAAGGGCATGGGAGGCTGCAGCTGCATTTACCCCTAATTCTCTTAGGGACTCCCTCATCCCTGCCCACAGTTCAGCTCTGCTGCAAAGTCCAGACCCAGGCACAGCCTCCAGCAGCTGGTTCCACTTCACTGAGGGTTGCTGCAGAGGGTGCACCTTTCCTCCCCTGCAGCACACTTCTACCTCCTTGTCTGTGCATGAGGAGGCACTGATCCTGCTCAGCTAGACCTCTAACATGACTTTTTAGATGGATCAGAGAATTCTCCCAACCACTAACTATGGTGAGGCACCGGAACAGGCTGCCCAGGCAGGTGCTGGAGTCACCATCTCTGGAGGGGTTCAGAAGACATGTGGATGTGGCACTTTGGGACATGGTTTAGTGGTCATGGGAGTGTTGGGTTGACAGTTGGACCTGATGATCTTTGAGGTCTTTCCAACCTTAATGGTTCTATGATTCTCTGGTTTATAGCACTATGGAATATGCCATGGGGTGCAGGGGAGAGCAGGACCACCTATGGCAGGAGTAGCTTGCAGTGAGATCAGATGAAGCTTCTCCTGAAAGCACAGCCAGCAGAGGAGATTAGAGGTAAGTTACACTGCTTTATCCTGTGAGCTGGCTCTTTTTCCTGTCTGGTGCAAGTGGAGATCTGAATTTTGAGGTGGTAACAGGTCTCAGCTGCTGATCCCCTGTACACTGGCCCAAGTCAGTGTCCCCAGCAAAAAGCTGGGTAGAACAGCAGTTGAAGTCTGGCTCCTCAAGCACAACTCCCCTGTGAAATATTTCTCTTCCTAGGAATTTGTTTCAGTAACACTTACAGAAACAATTTTTCCTTCCCGTTGAACAGAAATAAGATCTCACTGTAAGGCCAAGAGCTGCAGCAGAACAGAGGAGCTGATCATAGACTCATGTCTCCTGACTGCAAAAAGACAGATTACAACTATTTTGTATCTTGCTGCTCCTGGACTAGAGGCATTGGTGTCTTTTGCAGCACCAACCACTCCAGGCTGCCAGGAATAGGAGTGTTATTTGGTTTTGTCAAGCTGACCTACAGGCACAAAGATCCAGCTGGGGCAGAGAGCAGGCAGGGCACGTCCAACTGCAATGGCTGGGGAGAACCTTCAGCTCCATCCTGCTGTGGCAGAACTACTCCCATTTGGTTTTTAGAACCTGACAGCTGGGTCAGTGGTCCTGATGGAAGCTATTCCAGGATTTGCATCCAGGTCTTGGTGCTGAGAGGCTCCAGGGTGCTGCCCTGCAGCAGCCCCAGCCCAGCCCCGCTCCCGTCCTGGGCCGGCGAGGTGATCAATAATGCAGGGCAGCCTCTCACCCAGGGCCACTCTTGCTCTCCAGGAAGAGCAGAGTCGTGCTGCATTCCAGGGCATCAATAATTCAGCCAAAGGTTGGGTTTCCTCTGGGAGGCTTGGCTGGAACACTAGATGCATTATCAGGGCCCCCGTGGGCAAGCGGGCTGGCCGAGCAGCAGAGCGGCGCTTGGGCGACGGGCCCACAGGCAGCAGGAGTGTGCTGGCCTGAGCTGGGGCAGCTGCCCCCCCTTCCCAGCCTGGGGGAGCCCCCTGCTCCCCGGGAGAGCCGGCAGAGACGCTGCTGGGGTGTCAGGAGGGTGAGCAGGTGGTGCTGAGCTGGACGGGTCCCCTGCTCTACAGCTACGGTCTCCAAAAGGCTGCAGCCCTAGAGACTCGAGGCTGGGTTTTAAAATAGCACACCCATTGTTCCCTTTGCTCAAAGCATTTGCACCTTTCTCCTCTTTAAAGCAAGGGGAAAAAACCCCAGTGCTGCCACTGAGCTATGCCAGCCCCACAGCTGTTTAGCACAATGCAGCACGGGCTGACCTGTGCCTCTTCCTGGCTTGTGTGATTTTTCCATCCCTCTCCCCTCCTGCTGGCCCAGGGCATATGCTGTGAGCTCAGGCAGGGTAGCTGCAGCCCCTTGCAGAGGATCTGGTGGCAGAGTTCAGGCCCTTGGACCACTTGTAGGGTCCCCAGTTTTCCCAGCTGGGCATTACTCACAACTTGCCACCTTAAATCACAAAGATCAAACCAGGAACAGCCTCCTGTACCAGTAGATTTGGGCCAGTAGATTTTTCTGAAGCCTCTGAACAGCTTCCCAATGCCCAGGCTATGGTAACATTTGCTCTTTTGGTGATCAGAGGCACAACAGAATCAATTCAGGCAAATCTACCTCCCACCCTGTACAGGGCTGCATTATGAGGGAAGCCACAGCTACTCAATCAGCATCTAAAAACTACCTGAATCTCAGCAGCTCTGGACCAGATACAGTATGTATGCTTCAAGTGTTTTGTTCACCAGGAGTCAGGAAAAGCCAGGCTGGGAGCC